GCTCTCCTGTTCTCTATAATTGTGTTAATATTTGACTTCCTCTCCAGTCACAGAACCTAGCTTGCATTCCAATGGAGTTGAAAAGGGCTTATACTTTGATTCTTAAAAAGGGGGCTTCACTTGAACTCCACCCATCTCAGAGTCCATGGGCCTGTACAGTGGTTTCTTGGAGCACTTACTAGATGAAAGATTTTCAGGGGGAAGAAAAGGACACTGAGCCAGACGTGTCTTGTATATAGATAAAATAAAAGTGTGAATAAATATTTAAGTTAAAATAACAACAGTAACATAAATTTATTTCCTGATGGGTGCTGGTGGGAGCACATCGGGCTCCAGTTTACTCCAGAATATCTTTCATTCTTCCTGGGTCAAAAGAAAAGTTTGAGAAGCATGGAAATGTTCCTAGACGCCACTAGAGGGCACTCATGCTCTTTGTTGTCTTAGATTTCAGACTGGCTCAACTTCAACCTGAGACCAAACTGAGCAGTCAAAATAAATGGCCATTAAACAGGTGGTGAGGTGGGCTTGGGAGAGACAATCTGGGTACCACAGACTATCTTTCTTTTTGCATCTCTTTCTACATCTATAAAATTAAGGATTTGGATTATACTGAGGATTTTGAGTTGTACTCCAGAGGCCCTCTTAGAACAGATTTGAGGGACTTCGAGATAGGAAGGGATGGGGGAAAGTCTTCCYCTTTCTTTAAGCAGAGTGGCCTATTTCATTTACTTATATTAGTTAAGACTTGAGTATAGGGTCACAGTATTAAAGAGAAGTTTGAAAGCAAGAGAGCYAAATAATTCCTAGATGATCCAGGGCCACCTGCCTTAACCTTCTGCTTGGACTTACTGTCTATACCCCCATCCACTCATTCTTTCATTCCTTTCCTTCTGCTCACACCAGCAATGTTACTGAATTGTCCAAAGACTGAAGCTGGGCAAAACCCAAGAAGGGGTCCTTTCTTTTGGAAATGGATGGGGTCAGGCCAGGGAAGAACAGGCTTGCTGGTCCAGAGACCAGAGAGACCAGAGAGAGAGGATTCCTGGACAGCAGTGGTTCAGCTGTGGTGGCCCCCTCCCCTGCTCACGACTGGTCCCCACCAACACAGGGCGAGCTAGAGTCAATCCTAATTAAAGCTTCCAGCTCCATCAACCTTCCTGTTGCCCAAGTTAAGAAGGTCATCATTCTACTGCATTCCATTTACATTCAAGTTCCTGACCCACCCATGAATTTATATTTTCCATTAATTCATTTATCAGCTACTGACTGAGCATTTATATACATGCACAGGACTAGTAGTTCCAGAGGATGAGGAAAAGTGTAAAATAAGTTGTTTTTTTTTTTTTTGTGTGTGTGTGTGTGTGTGCTAAAGGGTTTGTTGTGCATCTTGAATGTGAGTCTTATATGCTTTCTTCCTACTTTGCAGGTCCCTCCTCCTCTGATAGAGAGTGCCACACTAGTGGCACACTTAGGGGTGTGGTAAGTGACTAGGGGCGCTTGCCTGTAGAGTTTTCTTTGTCCCACTTGGTCTTTTGCCACTGTTCCCTCAAAATGAGTAGCAAGAGAGTGCCAGACAATCGTTCTCCAATTTCCCCCCTGCATTCACCCAATTTCCATCTGTTTTTTCTTACTATTTCCATCAAAGTGATACTGTATATTTTTGTCTCTGAGACCATGGAATTTTGTAGATAAGACTCCTGTAGTGAGCACAAGGTCTTGAATGACATTCAGATACCTCATATTCCCTTCAAAGCTTTTGATAGTCAAGTGCCACGATGGAGATGTACTATCACAGTAGAGAAACAAAGAGGTAGAGATAGGCCAGACAATTCAACCAGATGAGGAGGCTCTGAATTACTTGGCAGGTGTAAGCTTATGTACAGRAACCGTTTCATTGACATCTACTAAGAAGAATGGGCACTTACCATCACTTGTTTTCGTCACGACACTCAGCTCAGAAATTCTAGCAGGAGAAAGGAGAATTGGGTGGAAGTGTCCTTGAGATTTCATTGCAGGTCCTGAGGGGTGGAATATATTTTAGAGGCAGGAAAGAAAAAAATACATATTTTTTGCATTGAAATAGTCTCATAAAAGATATGAATTTTAAAAATTGACAATAAATATGTATAGAAGTGAAGGCAATGACCATATATCCTTGCCAAGTAAATTTACAGATGCTCTCTCAMTATATCCATTTATTTATTTAGATACTCACTACATGTATATAAAAATAGAAAATAAAAAGGGAGGGAAATTCTTATAACATTCTTGTACATAAGTACCAGGAGACATAAATGAGRATATTTGTAATAGCACAAATTGGAAAACAGCTGGAACTATTTCAACAGATGTCCTTCAGTAATAGAATGGAGGGGCAATTGTTCCATGTTCATACAATAGARTACAGCACAGCTACATGCAACAATAGGGGTGAATTTTAGGTCAAGAACATTGAATGAATAAAGCAAATTGCAAAAGAATAAGAGTGTTGGGCTATTGGTGTGAAGTTTGGAAATATGCAAAACTAAATGACATTGTTTACAGATTCAAATATGCATGGTAAAATCATAAAAACAAGGAAAATATTGACCAACATGCCATGTAGGCAAAGGACTGCCTTCAAGAAGGGAAGGAAAGGAAGGGAATGTGGTTTGGCACAGGGAGCCTTCAAGTTCTTGGTAAATTCAAATTCTTAACGATGGGTGTGGGTGGTCCCTGGGTGTACAATGTATTGTTAATATAGTCATGAATATTTTTATAAAATTGTACGAGGTCTACTCAATATTTAACAAAAACAAAGCAAGATTAGATAAAGAAGAGTAAAATGGAGTTTTACTCAGGCATAAAGAAGAATGAAATTATGTCATTGGCTGGTCAATGGATGGAACTGGAGAACATTATGCTGAGTGAAATAAACCAGACTCATAAAGTCGAGGGTTGAATGTTTTCTTTCCCATGCAGAAGGTAGAGAGAAGTAAGGAACAAAAAAGGGGGGATCTGGAACTGGGTGGTGGCTCCGTGGTAGAGCACTTGCCCTGCACGTGTGAGGCACTGGGTTCCATTCTCAGCACCACATAGAAATGAATAAAATAAAGGTCCATTGACAACTAAAAAATATTTTTTAAAAAGGGGGGATCTGAAAACAGAAGGGAGAACCGTGGAGTGGAGGAAGGGGGATGAGGGGGAGGGAGAAGGGATGGGAAAGGGGAGGAACAGCAGAATGAAAATTAACCAGGTAACATATCACACCGATTTTACTCTTATGTATAACTGTAATGCACCCATTAAAAATAGATTGAAATTAAAAACTAAAAATACAATGCAATAATAGCACAAAGACTGGGAGGAGAGGAATTGAAAATATATAATTGTAAGGTTCTTACATTGTTATTTACACGAGGTGAAATAATATTATTTGAAGGTAGACTTAATAAAAGGTGTTTAAAAAAGGATAGATAAATTAAATGATTTTTAAAAGCCCTGCTAATTCTTACACCCTCCCTCATGGAGTCACCGTGCATACTATCAGGGCATGTGTACCTCCAACTTTGGAGACCACTGGTTTTATTATACAGAATGAGATTTTTTATTCCTAAAACATGCAGTAAGAACAGAGTAATAGACAGCAGGTTCAGCTCAGTCCTGATGGTGGATGAGACCCACTGCAGCCACTCACCCAGTGAGGTATTGCCCAGGACCAGAGGGGCTTCTGGGTGTTTCGCTTTCAGCTCCAGGAGATCCTGGAGGGTCCCGGGGGAGATCCAGGTCACTCGCTCTCCATAGAAGGTCAGGGTTCCCTTTTCTGGGTTCTCGGCCATCCTCTAAGGGCAAAWGCAACTGTGTGTGCTTGTGTGCACACCAGTMCTCCTGGGTTATAACAAGGATCCAGGTGGAATAGAAAGATTTGGGGGGTTCTGGGCTCCACTTGCCCAGAAAGATGCTCACTACACCTATTGGCTAATACCCAAATTCCTGTAATTAGATTTTTTTTTTTTTGCGGGGGGAGGGGAGGCAAGTGACAATATAAGCTGGTACCTGTCATTGACCACTCAGAGTGGATTAATTTAGCATAATTCATTCTTATGGTCTTAAAAATCACAACTACACCAATGCTCCTAAATTAACATCTTTATTTTGGACTTTGCCTCTGAAATGCAAACTCACATCTGAATAAGCACTAATGTAACAAACCTCTCAAATTTAACCTGTCTCAAGCAGAGCTCCTGCCAGCCAATCCCTTTCTAAGCACCTGATAAGAAATCCCAAAAGGAAAAATAGCCCGTTTCTCTAAGTTTTTCCCTTGCTGTAAATTGCTGTACTCTCTCAGCTGCCCAAAGCTCTGGGGTCAGCCTTGCTCTCTCTCTCTCACACCCACATCACATCCATCAACAAGCTGGTTAGGTTTTCTTGCAAAATGATCCCGAATCCACTCATTTTTCACTGCCTCCTCTGGCAGCGTGTCCCAGCCACCACCCCTCAAGAACACATTAGTCCCTGCTGGGCCCTTTGCAGACTACTCTCAGCACAGCAGCTGGGATGATCCCATTGCAACATCTGCAGGGCCATGTCCCTCCTCTGTCAGGCCTTCCTAATAGYTCCTTGTCTTTTGCAGAGTAAAACCCGAGTGGCATTCAGTCCAGCAGAGGCTGCCCCTTGTTTACTTGACTCCAGCCCTGCCAGCCTCCACTCTGTCCCTTGACCAGGCCAGCTGTTCTCTCACCCTTGGGGACTTTGCACTTGCTGTTCCCACAGCCTGGATGGCTCTTGCTCCGCACATCTTTGTACATCTTTGCACATCTTTGGTTCCCTCATTTCCTCCCAGACTTTCTTCCTATGGTACCTTCTCAGAGAAGTCTTCTCTGGCAACTATCTGCATCCTAGTCTTCTGTTTTATTTCATTTTTCTCCTTCACGCTTCTCACTGGTTGACACATTGTATTTCCTATCTATTGTTTTGCTTATTGTCTCTCTTTCTTACCAGACTGCAAGCTCTCTTGGGTGGGGCTTTTTGTTAGCTTGGTTTCCTGCTTCATGTCAGTACCTAGAACAGTGCTGGCTTGTTGCTAAATAGACAAACATTTTTGAATGAATGAATGAGCACCTTCAGAAAAAGGTGTTTTACAGAATGAGACACAAAATACTTGGGAATGAAGACTGTGATTCTGACAAAGGTGAGGGTAAGGAATAGGGGTGCTTTTGGGGGCCAATACACTGGAGTGGCCAGAAAAACCAAGTAGGATCTCACAATGCTTTATCACCTGGACAGTTGACAGGGACAAATTCCAGATAACAATGATGAAAGCAAAGATGTAATGCTTTTTTAACAAAAACTCAGATGGGGCTTCAGGGAAAATTCAGCGGGGGCAGGGGGGGGCTCAGGGGTGGTGAGCTGGGGAGGGAACAGGCATCTCCATCCTATCAACCACTTCCACAATTTGACAGAGTCACGGGAAGGAAATGGTGGATTTATAAAACTGAGTTCATAACCGGTTATATTTAAACAAGCACATAAAACACCCAACTCATCTTACCAAGAGTTCTGGGGGAAATATGAGCTCCTGGGTTGGGTCCAACGGCTGGAACTCCTCTTTCGCAAATAACTCTGTGCAAATCTTTATAGAAGGAAGAAGCAGATGGCCCTGTCAGCCACACTCAATTGGCCACGATGCTGTAGTTCTTTACAGGAATTAGGCAAGATTAACTAGTACTAATTCACCTACTCTCCTTATACAGGGAAATGGTTCAAACTAAATAACTTAAATAAGAATCTTGTAAGAGAGATACAGAATTTCCAGTAGCATGATATTAGAGGAAAGAGTAGTCTATGAATTCCTCCAAAAAGTACTCTGGGAAATGCTAAGACATTGAATGAAAAATTATCAGACATTAAATAAGTTTGAGCAGTCCTCTACATTGTACCACTAGCTTTCCCCAGGCCAAGTCAGGATTCAAAATACTAAAAGCTCTGAGAAGTCCTGTATTTAGCATGCACATACACTCACTCATGGAGCCTGAYTTTCATAATAATAGTTAATATTTATTGAGTGCTTTTTTTCCTCCCTGTTCTGGGGATTGAACCCAGGGCATCATGCATACTGGGCAAGTGCTTTACCACTGAGCTCCACCCCCAACCCAAGTGTTCTTAACATGTATTAATAATTTATTCAATTCTCATGATAATTGTATAAAGGAAGTTAATGATCATCTCGATTTTATACTTAAGGAAACCAAAGCATAGTGAACCATCTCCTGAACCATCATCCTGCCAGACTCAGAGCTGCTTTAGCTTTGGAAAACACTTGTTGCCAGAAAACATTCCTAAAGAAGTAAGGAAAATTGGGAGAGAACCTTGAGATGCAGGGGTGGCAGCAGGTGCCATGGGGAGGGTACTTAGATGTGGGATGCACACGGGTCTAGTTGACTCTCAGCTCCGCTCTCTGACCTTTCYATTGGAAGGTACTTAACCTTTCTAAAGATTAAGGGGGAAGTAATGCTTATTTTGAAGGGTAATTGTGATGATTAGGTGAAACGGTCTGACATTTGTCCAACCCCCGTGCCCTTTTTTTTTGTCTCTGAGGTCTTCCCACCTTCCAGGAGGAAAATTCTCCTTATCTTATAAAGTTTCTTTGTAGGGCCACAAATTGAGGCATTATGGGCCAATATCAGAATGACTAGTTTTTATGTTAGATTAAATATGRGCAGTACTTGGCAGGTGATGATGGGGTGTATCTCTAAAACTTAGAAATGAGAGTATGCCTGAGAATGAAAATGTCAGATAAGCATAATGATTCAACGATAAGAAATGAAGAGTTCCCCTAAACAGGTTCTAGGCCAAGACTTGCCCAAACAGAAGATGTTAACAGAGCTTAAAGAGGAGTCAGAGTTGCAGGGCAGACACCTGGCCARGYAGAATGGCCACCTCCATGGAACAGGGGTCTTTTAGAACAGTACCTGTTAAGATGGTGCAACTGCTCTGTGTCCTTGCTTGGCACACAGCCTTTGCAATATAATTTGGTTTCCTATACAAGATTTCCTGTAGAAAAAGGACTTGTGTGGTGGCTCTGGCTGTGGCTCAGTGGTAGAGTGCTTGCCTAGCATGCATGAGGCACTGGGTTCGTTCCCCAGCACCACATAAAAGAACTAAACAAAATAAAGGTCTTGTGTCCATCTACAACTAAAAGTACTAAAAAAAAGAAAAGAAAAAAGAAAAAGGACTTGTGGTTAACTGATCTCAAGACCCACTTTATAATCATGTTTTTCTTTATGAACAAATATTGGAGCACTTTCCAGTTCAAATATCATATTCTTTTAAGTTTGGTTAATGTAAATCATGTGGCCCCTAGAGACCAATCATTGCCCAAATTGAATTCTCAAGAAATTGAGATTCACTTTAGAAAGTATTAACTGCACCAAGGTACTGATCCTCTGGATAGTAATCATGGGGGATGTAGCCCACATCCATTGGGAAACATCCTCTGTTCCATTGCACACTTTCTTTAGACCAATAAGTGACAGAGGCAAACATGGAGAAAAGGTAGGTTTGAAGGGCAGAGATGGAGGAGGGGATAATAGGCACAGTGTTGGCTAAGACTTGCTCTGGACTCTCAGGTTTCCTTGTGTAACAGGAGCCAGTGCTCTATTTTATTCTGCATTTCAACTTCTCCAAGTAATTCCTTTGAGAACTTGGCAGTGGCTCCTTTTTGGAAATGAGTATGTCTTGAAGCAAAGCCAGAGGCTGGAATGTTTAGGGCTGGATGTCCTAGGTATTGGGGCCATTAACTTGCCATGTGACTTTGGAGGGCTCTCAGACTTCCTGAGGTTGCTGTGCCCTCTTTGAATAGGAGGAGGCGCGGTGACACAGTATGGACTCTGTGTGAGCAGAGGCAGCTTCCAAAATCCATTCCCACCTGATGATCCACCCTCAGGAGGGGTGGATGTTTTCTTTTTTCTGTTGTGCAAGTAGTTTTTCTTTTAGTCTTTCAGGCTTTGAGGGGAAAATCGGAGTCTTTGCTTCAGATGGCCACTTTACCCACTTCCAAATGCCAAGTGCCATATTTGAGCATACACTTRGGACAGTTCTAAGTAAAGCAGAGAGTGACCATTGAAACTAGCAAGTCCAGTTTCAAAACTGGGCCAGGCAMTACTCACAGCCAGAGACCCAAACTAACAAAGACACTCACATCACTTTTCCTGTCCAGTGAGGAGGAGTGGTTTTCTCTCTGGTCCATGCAGCATTTTCCTGTTCCTTTCTGCTGACAGTCAGCTGACCCCTAAGAAGGAGGATGCCTTATATTAAACACTTTTTAAAAAATAGGTAAGTATATATGTGTCCTGAAGGATTTGGCAGTTTTCACTTTTTAACACTGTTGGTAGTTTCTATTAGTAAGCTGCCATCTTATTAATTCTGTTCAAGAAACTGAAATAGCTGGGCCAAGAATGTAAAAAGATTCCTTTTCTACTGAAATCTCAGGGATAATCATAAGGCCTTTCTTCTTTTGCTGTATTTCTCTATTTATATAAGATGATATACATAGAATATATATATATATAATATAAAATAATTATGCTAATATAAAATGACACAGAATGTACCAAAGTATAAAAGAGACTATCATCACCCTATTCTATTAATGATATTTGACATAAAATATATATATATATATATATATATATATATACTACATTTATATATTACATGTTTATATACTACATAGTATATGAACATTTTTGTACAGATTGTATAATATCTATGAATTTTTCAGATTAATACTTAGCAGTAAAATTAATTTATAAAATGTTTTTTGGGACAATAGCAATATACTCTATACAAGATTCAACACATTGTTCATTATAATCATATTTCATATAAGACACTTGAGAAAATTTTGAAAGAAGCAAAAGAAGAAATCAGATCTCCCAGACATTTGGGCTATGCATGGGTTGACTGGGAATGAGTTGATAATGAATTTTAAAGCAGGTTTTCATTTGAATCTCTTTCATTTCTGTTTCCTCCAAACTTACCTCTACTATATTCTTCCTCAGATAATTTCTCCTAAGTGTCTATTAAAACACCTTTTCCCAGACACCTCAGCAGTTCTCTAACTCTGCCCAACTGTCTGAAGCTGCCATCTTACTAATTCTGTTCAAGAAACTGAAATAGCTGGGCCAAGAAAGTAGAAAGCTTCCTTTTCTACTGAAATCTCTGAGAGCTTCCAGGATGGACCTTGAGTCAACAATAATGGAAAGAAGCCCGTGTTCCCTTGGCCCAGGAGATATCAACCTTTTACAACCCTTCTGGGGCTGGGTTGCTGTCGCCCATTAAAGTCCCATGGGACGTGTTAGCTGTAGGGTGCAGTGTCTGACCACATTTTATCTTATCCCCAGAATCAGTTTGCCTGGAAAGGTGAATAACACCACATCCATAGGGAAAGGCTTTCCTCTTACTTTCTTTCTTTGTATTTCACAAGAGCTTTTCCCTTTACACCAGCAATTTGTTGGATTCACAGGGTATTCATTTTACTTCTTGGCTTGTTAACTTTGGCTTCCCCAATGTGGCAATAGAAGTCTGGGACACAAGGACATGGAATATCTGCCTAACTTTGTGGTTAGTTGGACATACTTGCTTGTCCACCTCTAGGCTCACCTCTATTATTTGTGGAGTTGAGGAAAGAATACAAATGGTGGCCCCAGCCTATAGCTTGCTCCCTTTCTCTTTCAGCCCTGGCTCTGTTCTCCACTATGAGGGGCCTCACCCATGTGAACACTCCCACCAGAGTCTCCAAGTTCTGTCCACTCCCTTTGACCTAGGGTGCAGGGTGTAGATGCTGGCTGTCATGATCCACCCTTGAGTGTATCAGGAAAGGGGCTTATATTGGCCTAAAAGTGGAGTCAAAACCATACATGGAGAATGACTTAGAAAAGGAGTGAAGATTCAGGTAGGCAAGTCACTTGACCCTATTGACTCCTGAGAATGGCTGGAGAAAGATCAGAGGGGGGCCTTCTAAACTGTGGGGTCCCCTTTGCTTGGATCTAAGGACTTTGTTTTCCATATTCATTTTACCCTCAGTAGAGGGTCATCAGATGTGYCTGTCTGGTACCCCTGTCAAATGCTAGTTCATAGTGTCAACAACATTATCAACAACAGTAGTAACTTATTTCTTAAACTCTTACTTATTGCCAAGCAAGACTCACTTGATTTTCAGAACAGCCCATTGAAGTTCCCCCATTTTGTAGAGGAAGCTCCCTGTGCTGTTGCACTTGGAGTGAATTTTGGATTCCACTCTACTTATTCAACTTTTTTTTTTAATCTGTTCACACCTTCCCAGCTGGTTAGATTCTGGAATAAACCTTACCTCACCACAGCAAACTTTATCCCCTTGTGTGTCTACTTGGGTTTCCTGAGGCCCTCTTGCTTGTCCTATCTAGATACTTTGCTTAACTGATAAAAAATATCTGGATGTCTGGTTAGATCATTTGACTTTTGTCTGTGGTTTTGGACAACATCAAAGATGGTACAGAACTTACCCAATCCCCAGGAAATAGCTTAAACTCCAGTTTAAGTTAGTTGGAGCTAACTTACTTTGTCTCCATTATAGACTTTTGAGATGGTCTTGGAAAACTAATTCCTGTGTCCCTGTCATTCTTGCTCTGTAGAGTCACCTACTCACCATACAGAAAGTCTTGCCACTCTCAAGAATTGACCGATACCCAGTGCAGCGGCAAAGATTACCTAATTGGAGGAGAAGCATGACTGTCAGGAGGACTTATATTTACTGGATTTTTGTGAAATTTTAAATGGATCTAGATACTTATTTATTTATTTTTATTTTATTTTATTTTTTTGCTGATGCTAAGGATTGAACTCAGGGCCCAGGCAAGCGCTCTACCACTGAGCTCCATCTCCATCTCCATTGTGTATTTATTGACAACAACTATATTTCAGACTGTAAGATATTAGTGATCCTAAAACAGAAACTATAAATAATTCCCAAGGCACAATATGAGAAAAGTATCATGCCTCGGGCAGTTTGTCATTGGTCTCCTCAGAGGCTTTAAGGTTAGGCAACAAAATTTCTTGAAAGCAGTTGTTAAAAATATAGATCCCTGTCTCTGTTCAGATTCTCTAGAATCAGAATGTCTTGGGGGTGGGTCCAGGAATATGCATTTAAGAGGTTTGCAGAACATTCTATTGCATGGAAAAGCTTGCAAACCTCATGTTTCCAAGGATATAGGGAGTAGAGGTAAAAGAGGGTCAGTGTGGACTAGAGCTCATCTGGGGATACCTTGCTAAGAAGCTCAGGCTTCAAAGATGAGCCAGCTATGGATTGGTGTGGAGCAGTCTGAATCCTTAGAGCAATATGAGCAAGGTGCAGAGGAGGAAATGTGCAGAGGCAGAGAGGAGAAAGGACTAAAGGGAGTCACATGGAGGAGAAGGAAGCCTTASGTAGGGGGACCAGTTGCCAGGGTTCTCTGAATGCCAGGTGAGGGAGATTGGGCTTGGCCATGCTTTAAACTGAGAATCTGCTGAAGGACTATACTAGGAGAGGGACCCAAGGAAGGTGGGGATTCTACATGACTTAAACTGATATTCTGCATTGGAGCAGAGAGAAAAAGAGAGGACATGAGAGAGGAGGAATTTCATTAGCAGCTGGCTGAATACAGGTGTGTGCTTGCTTGAGGGTCCTCAAGTAAGAATCTGTGTGTCTGAAAGACGACTTGTTGAGGGACCGTTGACACCTGAAGATGAAGTTTACTGATCCCATAAAAAAGACAGATTGATGAGCTTCTCTTTAGTAACTTACACCCATTACAAATTTTAAAGGATTCTCTCAATTTGTAAGAGTTCTGTTAAGGGTTGAATTGCGTCTCTCAGAAAGATGTGTTGAAATTCTAACCCATAAAACCTGCAGCTATGACCTCATTTTGAATAGGATCTCTGTAGATGTAACTGAATTAAGATGAGGTTATACTTGATTATGGTAGGCCCTACGAACTGGTGTCCTTGTAAAAAAAAAAGGGGGTGTGGATTTGGATGTACAGACACAGGAAAAGGCCATGTGAAGATGGAGTCACAGATTGAAGTGATGCATCTACAAGCCAAATAAATAAATAAATAAATAAAATGCCAGAGGCTATTGTCAAACACCAGAAGCTAGGAAGAGGCAAGGAATGAATGGTCCTCCTTACAGCCAACCTGTTTGTGGTGCTTTGTTAGGGCAGCCCCAGTACTAACACAGGCCCATAATGAAGGCAGCCACACAAATCACTGGACAGATAAGTGGTGTGGTCCATATGCTGTGCATTAGTGCTTTGCAGAACATACATGTATATACTGTGATAAGCAGGGAACTGCTTAGCATCTTTCTCTGCTCTTGGGTGAATTGTAGCTACTTTAGAAATGACCTATGTGGAGGTCTTAGTAGGGCAGAAATAGTGTGGAAGGTGGCTTATAACAGCCTAAAGAAAACTTCTCACCTGGCTGTGGGTAGCTGGTGGTTTTCCCCTGTGTCAGACCTACCTCCCAGGGCCTCCATGAGCTGCTCCTCTGAGGGGTGCAGGTGATTCCTGAGCAGTGCATACATAGATACCACCATCCCAGGAGTGCAGAATCCACACTGGGTGCCATGGCTCTTGGCAATTCTTTCCTGGAAGGACATAAGCATGGGTACACCCATAGTTTCCTGCTGTTATCAACTCTTACCAAGGTATGAGAGATGGAGCCCTTCCTCTGAGCAAATGTACCCTAGCCCTTTTGTCAGGGTCTGTGGGTCCCTTTTCCTAGGAGGCTTCAGGAGGAAGTGACTCAGAAGCCATAGACTATCATTTTATGCACTTCTCAAAGTCAAGTGCTCAATCCTTCAAGTTGAGATACTGTGCACCTTCAATGCCTAGAGAAGAACTCTTCAGGCATCAATAATTATAATGAATGTACATAAATTTCAAAAATAGTTTCTTGAACACTCCATCAAGGAGGTTGACCAGGAGGCTACCTCTTCCTGATTAATTTGAATACTATCTACTGTCAATCTCATTTTCCTTTCTTCTTTGAATTCTTCTGTGTTAGCTCAGATGAAATTACACTTTTAAGGATTTTGGTCTGTGTCTAAGATCCTTGTTACTTAAAGGGTGGTTTGTGGTCCCACAGTATTGGTTTMCTCTGTGAGCTGGTAGGAAATGCAGAACTCAGATCCCTGCTCCCAACCTCCTGACTCAGGATCTGCATCTTGAACAACCTCCCAGGTGATGTTTAGGAACAGTAAACTTGGGAAGCCCTGTTCTAGATTTCAGGATGCAGTGTTATCCTAGGATTGGGGTTTATGGACCTGATGTGAGCATCTTACCTAATCTAGTAGATTCTAACCGACTCTTTTGGATTCTTTACCTTTGCTTATCTTGGAAATGATTCTCATGTGGTTAAACTCAGAGATCCTTGGGGCTCCTTCTGCTCGAAGGATTCAGTTGATCTGGTCTTGTGACTCCCCAAACCTCTAGGACACCGACAGAGGAACTGATGTGTTCTCTGTCAATGCATGCCATTACTCTTGGATCCAAACTCTTTGTTCTGGCTTCAGGTTACTATTTGGGCAAATGATTGTACTCCTAATCAAGCAAAGTTCAATTCAACCCTCAACAGAACTCTTCCAACTCTTACTCATTCCCAATTCTGATTGTACTCCTGAGACCTCTATGTCACATGGAACAATATTGATTTTTATCCTCTATTTACAGAGGTATTTATTCTACACATAATAGCCAGGGTGTAGTATGTATTCTAGTTCATAGTCCAATAGTCATTAATTGGTATTTTGATGATCCTGCTTATCATTCAAGTAGAAAAAGTAACAAGAAGGATGACCATTTAATAGAATATGGATCGATTTCCAGCTTTCTTTTAAATCAAGGAACAGATGTTGTTACCTTGATCAACGCACATCCCAATCTTCTACTTACTTGATTGTAATCTAGAATCAGTACAGTTAAGAAACATTTGGTAAAGTAACAAAGTTAAGGAGTGTGAAAATTGAGATGCATGTTTACCTGCACAGGGTGAAGCCTGGTTTTGATGCTTCCAATGCCTTCCACGGTGGTGACAGCGGCTCCATACAGAGAGCAGATGGGCACCAGGCATGCAGTGACGGAGAAGTGTCTTTGTATGAGAAACACAAGGAAAAAAAACAGGAGGAGTAACACAGTCCTGCCTCATGGGGAACACTGGAGCCAGAAGGGCAGCAGAAAACCTCCAAAGCCCATCAATCAGCTCTGACAGGCTGGGGAACTGGAGAGGTGACAGCAAGGAGAAGTTAGAGTCAATCCTCTCTTTGCCTCTGAGCTATCTGCAAGGATTGAGGATCCTTAAGGTGGATATGGCATTCTGAACTTCAGAAAAACTTCCTAGGCCTAGAATGGACTCACCTGGGAACAACAGGAATGGACTAAGGTCTCTAGGAGAGTGATTGAACTTCAACAGATATCCATTGAGACACTGACCTCATAAAAAGCAAAGGCAAGCAAAAGATATGGGTCTTTTACCCACAGCTACACATTTAGGTATTTTTTTGCTTGTTAATTTAAATGATATTGAATGACCTATGTTCTAAACCACCTCTTAATTTCTTAGGCCAATGGGATTTGGAAAAAGCCCAAGTTCTATAATGTTGCCCAGATACCTGTTCTACAGGGTTAGGGCATCCCAAAAGTAGAAAGAGAATTAGCTTCAGGCTTCCTGTGGTTCAAGTTCTACCCTGAACAAGTCACTTCATTTTTTTGAGTCTCAATTTCCTCATCTGTTAAATATGTTGTTGGCCTAAGGTGGGGTTTATTAACCTAGGGCACGTAGATGAGCCTTGGGAGGTTTATGATCTTCCTGAAATGATTCGTAAAATGTAATTAGCTTATGCATTATCTGAGAAGATGCCTCCAATAATTTATGGGATTTCTTAGAGGGGTCTGAAATCCAGAGATAGCAAAAATCCAAAAATCTTTCTTAGTTGCGAGATTAGAACACAAGCCAGGCAGATAAACAAAGCCCTCCTCTGGCTTCTGAGTGTCTGGTGGGTACCTTATCTTCTTGGATACTGGATCGTGCTTAGACACCATAACCGTGCAGGCTCCACAGCTTCCTCTTCCACAGGCATATTTGGTTCCTGTGAGGCCTACTGGAGGTCGGGGTGGTCAAGGAAAAGTTGCCAAGGGGAACATTTTGCATCTAGCCATAGCTAACTGCTTCCCTAGGGTCTTTGTGGGGTGAGCTGCAGGTCTGTGAAGTCATCCTCTTACTTCCAGGTCTTATTAAAGGCCACTCCATACCTTATTAGCTATGTGACATGGGAATACTTAATTTTTCCTTGCCTATTTTCTAATTTACACAGAAGGAGGCATAATATCTACTTTATTGTCATAGGTTTATTGTAAGCATCTCATGGGATAATGATGTAAAAACTTTGAAAAATCCTATTTCATTATAGGGTATTCTTATATGTCTTCCTCTGGGCTCCAATCATATAATTGGAGGAGAAGAACTTTATTTTTAGTAAATGTATTATGAGTTTTGCTCAGTAGCTTGTATTTAAAAACAAGGAATCTTCAGAGGAAACTCCTGTCTTTACTTTTTGATTTTTTTCCTTGAGCATCCCTGGATTGATCCAGGTCCAATCCTAAATATAGGCCCAGCCTCATGCATCCTTTTCCCTGTGATCTATTTCCATACAATTTATGGAACTGGATGTAATTGACTAGACTGGCTAAAAACATTCAGAATCACTGACTTTTTATTGCTATTATCTATTTTTTTCCTAATGATAGGGCTTATTCATCTGAATTAAAACATAGCCTCAAATGCTTAACCAGAGAAGTCACACAAATAAGTACAGTGGCAAGGATGTGACTGGAGAGCCTGAACTAAAAGGGAACTAGGCCCAGTCCCTACTGAGCTCTAAGCAATACTATTGCCACACAGGACTGGCCAGTTTCCCAGTCACAATGAGAAGCTGAAAAATCTTGATTTTGTTTTTTAAACATGGAATTCCCTAATTTTCAAATATTGACAACTAATTATAAACCATGTGAGCTTGTGGGCTTATAAACAATATTGTAGAGGCCAATCTCATCAATTTGAAATTTCTCTATTTATTTTTATTTTTCTGGCAACTCCAAGAGATCCATTAGATTTGCCAATTAAAATATGTTGGCCATTATGAAGATCTAGATTCCAGAATATAAAATGGGGCTGGAGGAGTCTGGTGTCAGAAAGCAGGTATAGGGAAAGAAAATGTTTTCCTCTGACACTGTCTCACTGATTCTGGAGAATTTGGTTTCATGAAGGGGCAGGTAACAGGAGCTTCTATTACATGACACTCTGCTGGGGACCTGCAAAGTTCTCCAGGGACTATCTCGTGAGGAAATGAAGAGCTTAATTTCTATTGCATGCTATTAAACATAAGCACCTCTGGGAAAATTCTTCCTCTCCAAACTAGCCTCCTTCACCTGAGATCCAACTTAAAACCATGGCCAAAAACAAATAGCAAGGGCCAAGGGCCAACTGGATCGAGGAAGTGATCAGTTCCCATGGTCACACGGCTTAATTTTTAAGGAACAGACACAGCCAGGACTTAGCTAAAAAGGGTTCAGTTTTTTCGTAGGAAGGTCAGCAGAGTCACTTCTGGGTCTGCATTCCTTTCTGTCACCTGTGTTAAAACAGAAGAGAGATTATTGTGGGGTTGAATCAGTGACCAGTGGAATGTCTGTTACAGTCTGTTTGATTTAGGGCTTGGGCTATAATATTAGACATGSACCTTTTTTTTTTTTTTTTTTTTTTGGTGCTCTGAGGGCAGACAACTTTCATGCACATTTAGGGGCAGGAGCCTCACAAAGCATGGCAGTTCTGATCTTCATGATAAAAACTGGGATCCACTTCTGTCTACAAATGTCCCTGGACTTGTATTCTTCACATTTGCTCCACTATCTACCTTAGTGGAATCTTCCAATTCAACCTACTGTACTCTTGAAATATTTCAAATATCAGAGGTACTTGGACAGTGGGTGGGCAGTGTGGGGTCCTATAGGAGGACAACCTGGCAGAAGGAGTTCCTGGAACCTCTATGAAACGATTGATGACATCAGGGGTATTCATGATCTGTGGCAGAAAAGGGAGTGGGGAGAGTTGCCGTCATCCTGGACAAGCCCTGCAGCCTGCCAGTCCACTCAACTCAGAGTGGCCCTACAGTGAGCCTTGACACCCTACTCAGGGCCCAGGGTGGTTCTGGTGGGACACTAGACTTCCTCTATCCCTCCCCTTGGGAAGTGGAAGTGTTGGCACTCAGAAGTCATGAGGGCCCTTTTTGGTGCCTCTTTCCCACTGTGTATCTTGGGATATTCCTTTGACTTTGTCTTGAGGTGTCCAGAAAACGGCCATTTTGTTTTAAAGAGATGGAGATGATCCAGCGGGTGTCAGTGTGCTGCAGTCTGGCTGGGCACAATTCAGGAGCCACTTGTCAAAAGAAAAGAACTTTATTTTTAGAACACACGCCACACCACACAGCTCCTCAGGAAAAACCCTCAGAGCCCAACTGCAACCACTGGCTTCCCACAAGCCTCTCAACCTCCCCCACTCCTCCTGCTCTTGAGGCCCATTGGCTGGGTTGAGTTGGTGTAGCCAAAAAAAGCCCCCCAATGAGCAGCTCCATGGTCTGAAAGGGCGGGGAAACAGCCCAGTGAGCATCACCGCAGAGGAGCCAATCAGTTGGCAGCTAGAAGTTTGCTGGGGCCGCTGTGAGCCAATCATCAGCTGGCAACTGGAAGTTTGCTGGCAGCTGGAAGTTTGCTGGGGCCCCTTCAGCTGTGGCTCTCAACATCAGTGTTAGATTCTTCCTTTTTCCCCAAAAGGAAGACATATACTTTTTTAGACCTCAAAGAATAAGGAATTATAGGAAGATGCTTCCAAGTTGAGATATTAAAATTCATCTGCTTTCTGGATTCCAGGGGCACCTATCCAAGGGAAGAAGTCCCCCTGTGCCTGCCCCTGAACCACCCTAAGTCCTTTAAAACACTTATTGAGAATGTGGTGGGATCCTATTTTTTATCACCTAACACTCTCACCCCCACCACCTCCAACCCTGGACTTATTCTCTGTTCTGACTGCGGCTACTTTACTCTGAAAGGACACAGAGCAGCACGAGGAGGAAGGAGCCTCCTCTGGCTTTCTTTTGAGTCTCCAAAGCCAAGGCCAGTGGCAAAGCAGGTAGGGCTCAGCTTGTGGATTGTTTTGGAAGTTCACGGTGGTTGCTGGTTGGGAAGATTTGATACAGGAGAGAGGGTTCTTAGGCAAACGATGAGACGTTAGGGCTCCATGGTCTATTTCCTTTCTTGGGCCAAGCCCAGAGGTGTGTGTGGGGGTGGGTGGGGGAGACACACCAAACCCCAGTGAGGAATGTGAGATTGGAGGTCAGAGAGGCCCTGGAGGAGAGGGGACAAGGCCCGAGAGAAGCTGTGTGCCCTCGAGAGATACAGACTCATGACAGGGCCTGGCAGAGGGCGCTGAGGGCAGGCAGTGGTCTGTGTGGATGGATTGTGAGGACAGGAGGGGAGGATGTTAGGGAAAGTGGCAACCAGCAGACCCTGCCCTTGTCACATAGGTTCCCCCTGGAACTCGGCTACACCCAGGCAGAGAGGGGGACACTAAACTGATGGAGATTACACTTTGACGGATTCTGTTTAAAGGGRGCTCAACTGAAAAATGAAGTTGGTAAATAGAAAGATAAAGCAAGCTCCATTTCYTATCCTCCTGAGTCTGAAGATGAAGATGTTATTGGAGAAAGTCCTTCGTGTCTCAGACTCAGTTATATAAGCACTTTGTGGGATCCTAAGCAATGAAGGGAGTGACTTTCTTTTCATCTTTACAAAAGCCCCAAGAAACAGATTCCACAAGTGAGGACTCAGGGAGGCAAAGCTCCCTGTGTAAGGTCATGCAGTAAATGGCAGAGCCCACGGAGCTGCTAGAGCCAAGCCCTGACTGAGAGGGGAACAGGCGGAATCGGGCCCTGTAGCAGGCTGACCTCTGCAAGCCGGGGAGTAACACCCAACACTCACCTTCCTCCCGTTCACGAAGAAAACCAACGCATTGGATCCCGATGGGCAAGGCATGGCACCTGCCGATGCTCCGCTCACAGTTCTATGGGGAGTGCTCTCTGGCACCAGCCACAAAAGTGAGTGGAAAGGATTTAGGACCAGCAACTGGTATCTCTCCCTGCATGGAAGCAGGCAGGCTGGAGCCTCAGAGGGGAGGGCAGGAGGTGGAGACTTCCTTGCTTTGGGGTTTTTTATGTTGAGGGCTTGGCCTCTAATCCTGTGCCTCACTCCTACTAATCCTGGCTTCGAAGCTGGCTTGGCACACAGCCCACACCTTTTCTAGCTTTTTCTGAAGTTTGAGGGCATTAGTCTAGAAATCATCAGTGTGAAAAACAATAATCTAGGCCCAACTTCCCTCTGCAATGTCACCTCTGGCTTAAGAACATATCCTGGATGGATTTCATTCTTCTCAGAGTGTGGGGTGGGTTTCCTGAGACCTCACACTTGCCCAACTTGTTTCTTATTCTACCCTGGGAAATGTCCCCTCAGAGGAAAACGTATGAACAAGTCCAGCCTGCGCCCTAGTGGAAGGGGAGGGGTGGGGTGCTGCATCCACCCAGCCCCTCTGCACTCCTTCTCCCCACTCCGTGATCATTCTGCTGGAAAACAGTGATCTAGTCAGCCACTGTACATGAATAAACTAAGGACCATGGGCCAGAGTGGTCACCTCAGGGTCATGCAAGAGTAAAAGGTAAAGCAAAAACCAAAACCAAGATCTCCTGGGTTGAAATACCTCTAAGTATACATAGAAACCCTTGATCAGAAGAACATACCAGGCTGACCTCTCTGAACATCTCCAGTGAGCTGTCTACAGATAAAATCCAGCAGTCCTTGTTCTTTCAGCTAAAGTCATACCTAGGACTTGGCATTGCAGGTTAGAAAAGCAAGTAGATGCTCAGGAGAGGTGGCAAGACCTCTCTTCCCCACACTTCCTTCATGAGGTCATGGAACCCTCATTAGAGCAATCCCTTTATGCTAAGAACACTCATTACATGGCAGCATGTCAGGCTAGAAACCATGGGCATCTGGCATCCCTCTGCCAGGGCTAATGGGGAAGATCTCTTTCTCAGTTGGTCCGGGTGGGGTTTCAGCATCTTTCCCACCACAGAGGTATTCCAGAAAACACTCCTAATCAAATGAGCTGAAGCTTTCAAATTTTTTTACAATTCTAATGCCCAGGTCCTCAGGCATACCAGGCCTAGTGTACCTGTGGACACAAGTGTGTATGGGAGTTTCACTTGTATTAAGAAGTGGCTGAATAAATTAACAATAGGTTCATGAGAAGTTGTAGATCATGGTGTGAGTAAGTCAAGACCTTTGAGTTAGCCTTTTTGATCATGTACCTCCAGCTCAAAAACCCCCAGTAGCTCTCTGTGGCCTGGAATATAAGGTCCAAACTCATCCTTAAGTCCTCCACAGTCTGTCCTTGTTTCTGGCCTCAGATGTTCTTGCTCTGCAAAACAAAGCAAAACCCAAAACAATTACACATACACACATAAAAACCAAATAAATCAAAGCAAAACACAACAACAACAAAAATCATACTCTAGCCAAACTACTTTTCTAATTGTTTTTCTACTTTAACTTGGGGCTTCTCTACTTAGAACCTTAGTGTATACAATAGCTACTTGTATCCCCCAGAGTGGCCAGGGTGAATGATAACATATTCATTGCAGGGGTGAATAAATACTTGACTGATGACCCAAGATACTTTAAAAGAAGGAGCCATTAGTGATGAACTAAGTTGCTAGACATTGTGCATCTGCCTTGCACCAGATTCTGCTAAGTGGCAGAGGTACAGAGKACACCAGATCTACCCATTTCCTGTCTCTGAAGGGTTTCACAAGACGACAGCAGATAATACAACATTTACGCCTTTGGCAAACACAAAACAGAGAAACTAGCCTTATTTTGGGGACAAGGACCAGGGAATCCATCTGAGAAAGGCACATTTAGGCCTGAAAGATAAACAGAAGTTAATTCCCTGAGAATTGAGCCCAGAAGTGAAGCAGGATGGGGAAAGAGAGAAAGGAGCATGTGGCGACACAGGATGTGGTCATTTCCATTTAAGGGCATTAGTTTGAGGGCATTCATCTGAATGCCCTCAATCCCACAGAGGCTGTTTTTAAGGGTCCCCAATCTGTTCACCACTTCATGCTTCCCTCTAAAAGAGGACAACTTGTACACACAAAGGGCCCGTAGTCACCGTTGATGGGAGCTGGATGCTGCCAGAGGTCAGAAAGCATGAACCATGGTGTTCCCAAAGCTGCCATAGGAAAATATCTCTCAGCATCAACATAAAGTTCAAGCCTTTAGAGTAGAAAAACAGTTTTGGAGTACTAACATTGGACAATGGTATTAGATTTAGGTTATATAAAAGTACTTTGGATTAGGGAACCAATTGCATTAATTGCTGGGAAACTGAAAACTGATCCTGCATTGCCTTTGAAAAAATGTTTTCAAACTTGTTTAATCTGGGAAACCTTTGTTTGAGTGAAATCTTGTGAAGTGTAAACAGATAAAACAAAAAAGTTTGCTGTTCTAGCTGAGGAGTGAGGTCTCAAGTCCTCTGGCTTT